TTTTTTTAAACTATTTACCATATATAAATTTTATTAATAAAATAAATAATTTGTAAAACAAATTTCAAAATTAAAAGCTAAAATTTTATCACTGTGTTTTTGTTCAGCATTATTATTATTAACATTTTCTTCGTCAATATCATCATTAGCAGGATGTTTCTGTTATTTGTAATCATGACAAGATTATAGCTATCTTTATTGTGTAAAAAAATTAGTGATATATACAATAATCTTCAAACACAAATATTTATAATAATAAAAGAATAAATATTATTTTATTTTCTTACTGTTGATAATATGGAATTTCAGCATTATTTTTCATAGAATAGTAGAGAAAGTGGTATCTACACTCCCTAATGGATCACCTTTTATCATTTAAAAGTTCTCAAGCTCTTTTGATATCAAACTTGAATTATCAAGCAAATCAGAATGTAAAAAAAATTAAAAAAGAAGCTAGAAATACACAGTGTGAATAAGTTAGATTATGATAGAATATGTCAACAAATAATCTGGAAATTTGGAAATGCTGTTAATAAATCATTTAAAGACAATATTTATTATGTCCACAGAAATTAATACTAACATCTGCTTGCAAGCATTATGGAAATTTGGATATATACTCAAAAGAATAGAGAATTAAAACCTGGAGCCTTTATTTAATAATAATGTCACCGATTAAATTTGGGAGAGCGTATTTCAATTGGTGATAACAATTATTTTTGTTTTTGCGTGGGTCAGAATGAATAAGGGATCAATGAATTGATTTTGGTATTAGCGAATAATTTTGGGTAAAGAAGACAATAGTTTATTTAAATAAAATATTACTATTTTATTTAGTTTTCTTAGTCAAGACTAATTAACTTGTTAGAAAGTTACTTTACAAGTACATTGAATTCAACTTCTTATATACAATTCAATTAACGAATAATTCTAGTTTCCCAAATTGAGATATTCTCCCAATATTGAGAAGTTATCCCAAAATTGTGACGATATCTCAAAATTGTGACGATATCTCAAAATTGCGATGATATCCAAGATGATTCTTTCTTAAATAAGTTAAAGAAATTATGACGTTATACAAATAATTAATAAAAATAAAAATAAAAATAAATGTATTACGAAAATAGATGTAACACGGATGAAATAATACTAAATTAATAAAATAAAAATAGAAATAAATAAAATATAATAATAATAAAAATTAAGAATTTCAGAATTGGTTAAGTTCGGCCAAAAGAGTGTCCAAATCTAATTCCGGTAACAATAATAAAAATAGTACTAGGAGCCTTTGTAATATTAATATTGAATTATGTTTTTATTGTTATTTATGATGATCGACATTATTTTTTTTTGAGCCATTAAATATACTACGTGATTCCCCTTACACAGTAATACATCCACTTTTATATAGAGGGAGCATAGTGGACTTTTGATTTTAACACTAAATGTGACATAAAGTGATGATCATATTTATATTGTGCAACTAATAAAATTAATTGAAAAAGTACTTTAAAATACTCATTAATGTGACATAAAAATTCTGCAAACAAATATGCGTGAAACTTTGCATAAACATTCTTTGGGTGCTTTATATACTGAAAGTTCTTTCCCATCAAGTCC